TTTGCCACTGCCTGTTTATATCTTTGAATGACTTCTATTTTTGATATTTTATATTTCATGTTTAATGCTGTTTGCACCGGGGATAAGAGGGAAACCCAATTTCAATTCTCTGTATGTCCTGCACATATGGCATTATAGATCATAAAGTTGACTTGACTTGAAGTACCTGAGTAACAGTGCTGTTCATGACTGCACAGGAATCATTTGACATAGATTCAAAGAGTGACTGCAGGTTTTCCAAATGGGAGATTCTCATGATGACCAGCTGGGAGCAGCATCGCTCTGGAGTTTAAATCATCTATGAGTCTATGAGAAGCTTCTGGTCCTCAATGTGCAGCATGATGTAAAATTATGAACCAGTTGTTTTGTATTCAGGCTTCATATGTCAACGTTTACTATTTCAGGTGATTAGGTAATGAGAAAAAGAATGTAGTACACAAACCTCAGAAATAAATCATGATTTACTGTGCACATGTTGAACATCAAATCAGATTAAAATAGTGTTATCATGACTGAAAACCAACATACAGTATGGTGCTGCGTTAAATCAAAGGTTAAATATATCATTAATCAATTGGTATTGTTTTTAATTCATCCGGTTACCTCAGAACAACACATATTAAACTAACAGTTGTTTTCTAATTTGACAGCTAACATGCCTTAATGCCTTAATGCCCAATAATTAAATCGACAAAATAACAAATGAATTGTAAAACTGATTAAATTAGAATAGACACTAAAAATATAACCATAACCACCATATTTGCCATATATGCACAAATACAATGATATTTATACACTCAAATATACGGTACTGATAGGATTTAGTTTTTTATACACTATTTCTTTTTTCATACTTTACAATTAGTTTATTTCTACATGTCCAGATTGAATTCACCCTCAAATGCTTCGACCACTGCAGAGAGGGAGATTTCCAGCTGTTGGTGTGAAGTCTACAGACATTAGCATGTTTATAACAGTGGCCAGAGTCAACCCCACCCCCCGGAGTCACCCCCTTTGAAAATGTCTCTAACCTCTACTGTCTTTTGTCTCCCCCTCCACTCACACCCTCTGCCAGTTAAGATGTGCTAATGTGCATTCAGTGTGTGTGCAGCAGTGAATAGAGTCAGTGCCCGTTGCTGACGCTGCAGCTCCGGATGCGTCCTTCAGAGAAACTGGAGCACAGCAACAATTTAAAAGAAAATATCATCACTTGTCTTCTGTATATTTCCCATTATGCTTGAGTTGCAGGTTTAAAACTATATAGTTATCAAAATGAGTGTATATGAGTGTTTACAGCTGTTCCAACTACCACCAAGACAATAATACAACAGTATTTGCTGTGTACTGTTTCAGAGATGAGGCCGCTCCCTGTTGAAGTTACTACCTTAGGCAGCAAGCAATTCACAAATACATGTATTAGAAATATCTTGTCCTCACAACACAAACCTGATCGACTGAAAAGAAAAAACGTTCTTAGTGATTATTAGATTATCGTGAGGATGAAATGGGGAAAATAAGAAAAGGTTACTTATCTTATCCAAGCCTTCCTAAAACAGTGAGAGTTATGAATGACATTTGTCCAACCCAGATTTCCTACGTCACAGATTTAACTGGAATGAAGACTCTGGTTCTCTCTGTGAGGGGTTAGTCAGTCGACTGGTTTTGTGAGCACTTTAATCACAGATGCATGTATTTTCAAATCCAACCCCACATCGACAGAAGGAAACATGAACTAAGGATATTTGCTAAATCTGGTAACTGGACTTGTTTCCTGCTCAGTGAATAAAACCCCTCAGTTATTAATTGTATCATCTATCTCACTTTATTTAATGACTATGTTTTACTTGAGGTTTGTATTTGTGACCATTATTAATTAATTATAAAAAATTAAAAAACTTTGACTCCTTGGGCTTGTTTTCAATCTCCACACCTACTTCCGTTCTGCGCCGGTCATGTGACCCGCCCCTCGTCCAATCAGGTGCGAGGAGACGGCGGCTCGTAATTTTGAACCTCGGGCTCCTCAGCTCGGAGTCAGACCTCGAGCCCCGGCTTCTCATGGAGGTTTCCAGCTGCTCCCTGCTCGGGTGAAGTGGAAGCTTCGCCTCTGCCTCATGCGATCGAGATGAATTCTCATGTGATCACTCCTGGACCGTACCGAGCCACCAAACTGGTAAGGTTCTCCATCTTTAGTGAGCTAGCTAGCTAGCTCGCTGCAGAGCTAACGGCTAATCTCTGTGGAGAGTTAACGCTTTAAACTTGTCTCGGTGTTTATCTTCATGAACACTCACTTTATATGAGTTTGATCGCGACTCCTGTGGTTTAACTTCACCTCACATCGAGCTGCTCGTTGTTTCCTCAACTTTTACGTTTAAAGTGCTTCTGACTTTTCTCCTGTTTTAGTTGTTTTTGTCGAAAATCTAAACTCCTCCTGATCCACTGCGATGTTTTGTTGTGTCATGACAAACCATCAGACACTGTCACATAAGTCTGTACACGTTTAATGATTGAATCTGGAAAACATCAGGTGGCACACTTACAGAGTATAAAGGAGGTTGTTTGCCACAAAACCAAAAAAAAAAAGTTCAAGTAAACTATGAGTGAGATAGAAAAAAAGTTATTTGTTATTTCATTGTTGTGTTTTTTTCGAAGCTTGGAAAGTCTTTATAAAAGTCCAACATGTGCAGATTACAGTCTCAGAGAGACATTTTGCTGAGGACATCGTCTGCAGAACCAAGAATGTTTTCATTTCCGTTGTGTCTGTACCAAAGACGATTGTAAATCTCAATCAAACCGCATGTTTTCCTCCTTTTTCCGATTGTCCTCTGTCAGGAAGTGTTCCCCACGGTCTATGTCCAGACTAACCCATCAAATCAAACTGACTTGCGTGACATCATCAGATCAGTTTGACATTATGCTAAACTCCGTCTCTGTCGTCTTTCAGTGGAATGAAGTCACCCGTCTGTTTCGGGCTGGCATGCCCCTCAAGAAACATCGCCAAAACTTTCGGCACCACGCCTCCTGCTTCACCGCCTCGGCTGCCGTGGACTGGCTGCACCAGCTGCTCCTTAGCAACAGCAATTTTGGCCCAGACGTCACCAGACAACAGACGCTACAGCTCCTGAAGAAGTTTCTGAAGAACCACGTCATCGAAAATGTGAAGGGTCGCTGGGGCACTGAGGACCTGGAGGACAACAACTCGCTCTACAGGTAGGCAGAGTTCATTTTAATTCAATCTACTTTGTTGACAAGAAACAAGGATGTTTATCGTAAAGCTTACGCTGTCCTATTTTCCCCTCTTTCCCCAGATTCCCCTCCACTTCTCCTCTAAAACCGATTCCCTGTCCAGCTCCAGCCTCCAGCTCCATAAGGAAAAGACCGTCACTCAGGGACAAGGACGGTTTCTTCAGGTTCAGGAGTTTAAAGAAGCATGAGAAGGAGACACAAGTGAGCTGGAGGGGGGATGAACAATTTAATGCATAATATTGTATTTATATATCTTTAGCACACAAAAAAAGCTTGTTTGTTGTGACAGTTTTCAATGTGAATTCAAAATGAATCATTTATTTTCGTCTGCTAGGAAAATGTGGATCCTGCTCTCCAAACAGGGGAAGAGAATCATCCAACAGGAGATCAGCAGATGCAGAGACGAGAGCTGACAGTGGAGGACGAACAGGACATCTGGAGAGACATCACCCTGACCCAGTACAAACCCACGCAATGAGCTGAATGACGTTTTGTTTCGCACACGTCTGCGCATGCCTTATTTTATGAGATAATTGAAATCACAAAGTCACATTTCAGCCGCGTAGAACATCCACAGAGAACAAACCTGATTCATAACACACAAGTAGAAGGTGTAGGATTTTCTTGTGTAACAAATGTTTGTCTTCAGCCTGCAGAGGATTCTGGGTCTTGCGTCTCTTGAAGAGGTTTTAAACCAGCGTCATGTAAACCCCCACAACATCATCCACAATATGACCAAAGTCAACAAGCACGGAGTGGTCACACTGGACGACAAGACCAGTAGGTTGACATTAGAGTCAAGTGTAAAAATCTTCATAGACTACAGTGATAATGTTAAATTCTGTTTAATGTCCCGTTAAAAAACAGTATTCTACAAAAATATCTGCACAAACAGGACAATATACTGTAACAGACTTTAATCGATCAGTTCCTCCTCCAGATGACCTTCCACACTGGGTCTTGTCTGCCATGAAGAGTTTGGCCAACTGTGAGTAACTCAGGACAAATTCGTGTTTGTGATGTCTTCATTTGATGCATGATTATTATTATTATTAGAATCTTAGGAATCGAGATCTCGTGCAGCAGGAAGTTAAAAAATTGAACTTTTCATTTTTTTTTATTCCCAGGGCCAAAGTACGACAGTGCTCAGCCGTCCTATCCCGGCTTCGAGAGGGATGTCTTCAAAAATGTGTCCGATTATTTCTACAGCCTCCCACAGCCGTTACTCACGTACGAACTGTACGAACTGTTTATCAACGTTCTGGGTAGGTGGACTACTTCCTGTTGCTCCGAACCAGTAAAACAATCTTGCTGACTGGATGTCACCGGTGTTGTGGTGCAGGGAAACGATCTTCAGGATCTCGTCAGTTACCGTGACTTTCTGAATCACGTGGTTTCCTGTTTTGACCCCTAACTGCCTTTTTGGCCCCTAACAGAGGTTTTGGTTGTTGTCAGCTCACAGTGATATGAGCAGCTGCACTCGCTCTGTGTTTTGTTGTTATGCTTGTGTTGTCCGTGACCAGCTGATGTTTAAACTAACTAAACTCTCTCCCTCCTCTGTACTGTCTGCCTGCACTGACCCTGCCTGCCCTCTCTTCTTCTGCTCATCCTCCTGCGTCCTCTCTCAGTGTTTTGTGGGTACGTCGCAGCACCCACTACGCACCAACCTGGGAAACGCAAGAAGCCTGACCTTCCCTCAGCGCCCCCTCCAGCCAAGGCATCGTTTCGCTCCACCGAGTGTCTCCTCCTGTCACTTCTCCGACAGGGGACGTGCGATGAGGGCGAGTCGCCCATGAGAGATGTGCTTGGCGGGAAGCTTCAGTCTCGGATGGCGGCGCTAAAGGGAGGTGGCGCCGGCGACCCTCAGTTTGGTGGCAGCTGCACGAGCCTGAGTACACTTGTTTCCACGAGACCTCAAACCAGGAGTTGCTCGCTGGAAACCATCCTCAGTGACTCTGCTTCTCTCACCCGGCAACAGCTGTTCCTGTCCAATGACAGCCTGGCGTCCTGCAGCAGGAGCCACAATGACAGTTCCGCCGTCACCACACCTCACAGTGACTTTGCCCCCGTGACCAAAGCAACCCCCGTCACACGTGAACCTGCTCCAGGAGTTAAAACAAGGAACAGACTGTCAGTCGCACAGAGGCTCCACCCCCTGCGGCCGCGCAGCGTCGGCAGCTGTCTAGATATTGTCATAGAAACCAGGGAGGAGGATGACAAAGAGACCAACTGGCAGGGCCGAGCAGCGAGCTGCCTCAATGTAAACGCTCCTACAGACCGGCAGCACTTCTCCGCAGCTTCACGTCCTTCCTCGTCCTCCTATCGTCCCTCCTCCTCTTCTTTTCATCCTTTCTCCTCCCTCTCTTCAACGGCTTTGGCCAAAGCACAAGAGGCTCGTGCTACTGCAGGACCCAGCGGGCCCAGACCCGCCTCCAGTACTTCTAATCTCTGGATGCCGCCTGCCCCCGCTGTTGTCCGCCGCTGCCTCAGCTCTCTGGACGTGTCCAAGCTGCCTCGACCTGTTTCACTGTTCAAACGTCCTGTCTGTGTCCCCGCCAGCAGCTCTCACCCCCCTCAACCCAAACCTGAGCACAGTAAGACACTCTCCCCTCTACCTGTCTGTCTGCTTGTCTGTCGATGTCTAATCAGACTAACTCCATTTAACATCTAACCGCCGCTCGTGAGCTTCCTGAGGTTTAACGTAGAACGACTCCTGTTTGAAATCAAAGGGTGAAGCTGAAGATGTGACTGAAGACAGAAAATGGTTTCACTCTTTGGTCGTCTGTGTCAGAGACAGAATAAAGGAGTAAAAGAGTGTGTTCAGTATTTTCAAAATTACTCCCATAACATTTTTTGTAAATTTATCTGTGTCTGAAATACAAGTACAAATATCTGTTCCATACAGGATATATATATATGTATATACACACACATACAGTGTTTATAACTCCTGCCTGACTCATCTTACCATAGCTGTAGTTAGTTAATCTCACCATTAATCCATTCATCCATCGTTAGTGTGATGTAGCAGTGATGGATGAATGAAGTCTCGAGAGTGGAGCCTGCTGCCTTTTGTTTATTCACAGTTTGAACTGTACAGCTCACCTGTGTGTGTGTGTGTGTGTGTGTGTGTGTGTGTGTGTGTGTGTAGGTCTTCTCCAGTCTCACTGTGAGCGCGTGGCCATCGAGGCCCTGCAGCTCTGCACCCTTCTCCTCCCCCCCACCTCCCGCAGGAAGTTGCAGCTCCTCATGAGGATGATGTCACGCATCAGCCAGAACGTGGACATGCCCCGCCTCCACCCCGCCATCGGCACCCGAACACTGGTGAGTAACTTCACTGTCGTCATGATGTCATCTTCACATGTATTCACCTGTCGTGTCTTTGTGGCTGAACCGACCCTTTGTCTCTCTGTCTCTTTGTCTCTCTGTCTCAGATGGTTCACACGTTTTCAGGCTGCGTCCTGGGCAGCGCTGAGGAGTGTGACTTGGACGAACTGTTGGCCACCAGACTGGTGTCGTTTCTAATGGACCATCAGCAGAGCATCCTCTCAGTCCCAGAGTACCTGCTCAGTGCCATCAATGACCACATACAGTACCTCCGCACAGCACAGGTACAACTACTCCACCCCGTATATATACACATAGTATATATAGTACTGACTCATGCAGTCGTTGATTATGAAATATAATAAACTGTATATTTAAGAACCTACATTAGCACAATGGAATTTATAAGATCAAGCCGCTAAAATTGAAGTTGGAGAAATGTATTCATTGTGTTTGATCGATGAAGATGCATTTTTTTTTGTTTATCTCACGTTTTATGAAAAATCTCAGACAAATTCTTACTCAGCCGAAGTAAAAGCTGGAGAAACTGAACACAACAGAATTCAGTGTTGTCTTCACCTTCATCCACACAGTCCTACAGATGATGATGATGATGATGATGATTGTCTCTACTTGACCCCAGGTCCCCATCGACACTGGTTTCAGTGTGGACGGCAGCGATCTGGTCAGCATTCCGGTGCCCGTGTTCGCGTTCTGCCATCAGATTAGCGGAGCTGAGTTTGAGAAGCAAAAGCAGGCGTCTTCCCAGAAGGCCATGGAGGATTTACTGGAGATCCTGCTGACGGACCCAAACATCAGTGAGAAGGACAGACGCAAGAAGCTGAAGCAGGTAAAATAGAATAAAAAAAACCTCCTAGAACACAAAGACTACGTTAGTATTTTTTTAAATCGATCAAGTCCAATAAAAAAAGTGTGATTTTATTCACTTTAACATGCGTTTTGTTGTTTGTTGTCACTTCCTCTTAGTTCCAGAAGCAGTACCCAGACATCTACAGTCATCGGTGCCCCGCCTCTGACAGGGAGAACAAGAGAGACAGCAAGCCAAAGATCAAACCCGCCCTCCTCAACATCAAGAAAACCAAAGCTTTCAGCATCAGGAACTAAGTTTCACCGAGAGTCGACAGAGAAGCTCCAGTCAACACGACGCCTGTGCTGCACTGATGCTGCGACTCCTGAGAGAGCATTCTAAACTGTCATTACATTGGAACCCTGTTGGTCTTGTTGTGTCTCAGTTATGTGGCTGGAGGACTTCATGTTTGTGTCGTGTGCGTGTTTGTGACGTGTGTGTGTGCGTGTTCAGTAAGATGAAGGCAGGCGAACAGACAGAAGCTCAGAAGAGTTCACGTTACTTAGTGTGTTAAAGTTCAGCAGGATTTTACTTCTGTAAACTCCCCTTTTCCTTCTCACATCACCTTCCTCTTGTGTATTGGTAGGTAATACTGACGTGTGTGTGTGTATTCAGTGTGCATTTTGGGAAAAATATGCAAGTCTGGGATCACTGGTACACGTGGGAGTAACTAGATTATAGATTAATTTATATGATGATGTCATTTGGAGCAGTGCTAACGTATGAAGTGTATTTTGTAATAGTTCCTGTTTTATAGAGTTAACAAAACATTTTCATAGATTCTCAAGTTTTATCTGAAGGATAAGGTTTCGTGTTTCTTCTTAGTTTTGTGTCTGTGTATGATTTTAGCAAGTTTACTCTTTTTATTTAAAGATGCTCCACAGAAGGGATTTTCTCATATATTTGATTTCTGGTTTCGGAGATCCCCTCGCCCGTTTTGGTTCTTGTACATAGTTCGTCCCTGCTGTTTACTGGACAGAGCAGTGTTTCCCACTGGGGTTGTGCTGTGAACGACCAGTGAGGTAACGTCAAACGGTTAATTTATACATATTTAATGAATATCTGACTCCCTAAAGAAGACTTTTACCCGTGTTGCTTATAATGAGCGGAGCTGATGTCGATTGGGTTTTAAATTGAAGTGTAACACGGAGCCCCCCCCCCCCTCTTGTTCTATATGAAGTATTTGTTCCGCCCTGGTACGTGTTTGTCTGATACCTCAGATATGATGTGTTTTAAGTGTAGACACTCATCAGTGTTTTTGGTGAAGACCTTTACAGAGGAATGTTATTTTACTCTTCCTCATTGTTTACTATGCAAAGTTCTGGGAAATAAACCTTCTTTTTCTATTTATATGACTTCGTCCT